AATATTCTTATTAAATCTCAAGAAATCTAAACTGTCGTGAAATTAACTAAATTATTCTTATAAATCAATTTTCTCAATGAAAAATGTTTAACTCACTCAAAAATACATAAAAATAGCAATAACCATTATAACAAGGGAGTTAACTCTCACAAACATACAGACACGCAGAAAAACGTATATGCCATACGGGTGATCTCCCCTGAATAGAAAATATTTGAGCGTGACTCTGTTTTCTACATTGAACCACTAATTGCATGACGCTTGTAATCATACTATCATTGCTTCAGAGTACCCAATTATATATTTAACATAAGGAATTGCCTACATTAACAAGTCGCATTATACTTGGATGAACATTACAAAGCTACATAGTAAAACGTATTTGAAAACAAGAAAATATCAACGTTTGTATGTGTATTCAACATGACGAATCTACTGTTTACCGTCTTATAACAGCTCATACAAAATTCAACATTTCTACCGACTACCTAAATACTGAACGACTGTCAAAATAAATCAGTCACACATGTTAACACCGAAAATGGGGGCCGTCATGCTTAATTGGAGTTCATCGAAGCAAAACCAAACAAATGCGGCTGTTAACATTATCGAATACCGATGTCATGTAATTTTACATAATCAACAGTTACTATTCCAGGATCTTACCAAAGCTGATTCATATGCTGATCAGTACATTCAATGTGATTTAAACCACAAAACATTAGCAAGCATCTTTCTAGTTTTCACCGTCCAAAAACATAGCCTCGTTTTCGCTTGAAATCACACAAGTACCAACACACTTTCGCGGTAAAATTAAAGATATCAAATTGGCGTCTACACCCTTTCTTAAATTGTATATTTATTATGTATTTGGTACGGGTACTACGTCAACAGAGATTACTCCCACTGTAGTGATGAAGATTATAGGATGCGTGCGCATACCCGGGTAGAATGTTCCAGAAATAAAAATATATGTGAAGTTCACAGCATTCATCTGTTCATTTCAGCCGCCAATTTACAAAGTAACATGTTTCTAAATAATATCCATTATGTCGTTCCAAAGATAAAATTGTAAGTACATGTTGGTGTTATATCATAAATGGTCAAAGATCTCGATAAACCATGGTACCACCATGAATGTAAGTGTCTTCATTAATTGTATAGGAATGCTTTGTTTTCTTCCAATAGATGTTGATCTCAAGACAATAGGGAAATTTTAGTAAGCAAAAAAGAAAATATATATTCATATGTATGAAGCAAGAGTGAAACGGAATTATCTCCAGATAGAAGGTGACATGTTAAGCAATTTAAAGAGGAATGACTCAAAATCATTTTATAAGAATTTTTCGAGGAATTTATCTTTAGAACAGTTTTACAAATATTTAGAGCACTTTCTGATATGGATGTTGAATACTCTGGAAACACTGACCAACAGTTGATAGATAATGAATGTGTTTATTCCGAGTTAGACAGTTATTTTAGTCTTGATGAGCTGAAAATTTCAATTACGGGATCATCATGGGGTAAGTCACCAGAGCTTGACGAGATGCTTAATGAGGTTTTTTTTACTATAGGGATGCGTTTGCACCGATTCTATTTAACTTGTTTAATGTCATATTACATGTAGGTTATTTTCCTAAAGAGTGGTCGCAATATGTTATCATACCACTACATAAAACGGGGAGATAAAATGATGTTAATAATAATAGGGGTATTACCTTAACTAGTCACATTGTCAATTTATTTACGTCTCCTTTGAATAAACGTCTGCTTAAATGGCATGAGAGCGAAAATACTATATCGGATTCTCAGTTTGGCTTCAAACCTGGTAGTGGTACTAGAGATGCAATGTTCGTACTTAATTCTTTAATTACAAAATCCTTACAAACTAACAAAAGGCTCTACTGTATATTTTTGATTACAATTGTCAAAGCTATCATATACAACTCCTTCATTTGTTTTTAATAATGTATGCAGAAGATACTGTGCTATTTTCTGAAGACATTATTGAGCTCCAAAATATTCTGGATTTTTTAAAGGTTTACTTGAATCATAGGAATTTGACCGTGAACGTCGACAAGACCAGGATGGTAGGTTTAAAAAAGTAAACGATTAATACCAAATGAACGGTGGAAGTTTGATGGAAAATATATAGAAATTGTAGATCAGGACTGGTACGCAAATATAACGGCAAATGTTCAATAACACATAATAACATATCTGCACAAAATAGAAAGGTGCATTATCTCCACAATCGTAGTATGAACACGTTTGTTTTGAATGTAAAAACTAAGTTATCATTATTTGAAATTTACGTATCATGTATTTTGAATTATGGTTGCGAGATCTGTGGTTTTGATATAGCACCACAGATTGAAAAGGTACATTTGTCGTTTTTTAAATCTCTTTTTGGTGTAAAGAAAAATGTTAGTAATTCTATGATGTATTTTGAGCTAAATCGCTTTCCTTATTATGTTCAGCGGAAGGTTACTATTGTAAAGCATTGTATACAACGTTTGAAGACAGATAATTGTATATTAAGAACTTGTTATCATGGATTAGTTGATCTTGATACCAAGAAGCCTAATTGTAAAGCAAATTGGATTTTTCATTTGAAACAAGATTGATTTAGATTTGGTGTTGGCACAAGATGTTTCAAAGGAAAAGTATTTCTGATTGATATATAACAACGTATACAGGATATATTTATTCAAGACTGAAGAAGTAGATTTGAAAACTCCTCAAAGTGTACATTGTATAAATATATAGCTGATCGGTATGTTACACAATCGTACCTCAACAAACCACTTACTACGAAAATAAAATTGATACTAAGTTTAGGATGAGCTCACATAAGTTGAAAGTTGAAACGGGTAGATACCATGGTGTTAATATTTCTCAAAGAATACGCATTCTGTGCGACAGTGATGAAATAGAAGAAGAAATTCGTTTTATTTTACCATGTCCATCTTATTCAGAACTCTCAGAAATATTGGCAAGTTTCTGATTCACGCTACGCCAAAAAGAAAAGAATTATTAAATACTTATTATTTACTTATGCTATTCGAGATATTTTTGAGCAGTTGAGTGTTTTTTAATTAATCTATACATTTTCATTTGTCAAAAGTAACACTTCCGAGTACTAGTGCTTCAGAATACCGCTGTTTAAAATGTGCTTGATATCTATGCATACTTATGAATTTTGTGTCTTAATCTTATTGGTTATGGTTAATGTCCTCCGCCATCCTGTGTAAATGTTATTATTTGTTTGTATATTCTCAATCTTATTTGCTGTTGCATACGAAATGAAATAAAATCGAAAATTGAAATGTACACTATAATCCAGGTATTGTAAAGATTATGATTATACTGACCTGTATTTTCATATCTTTATGATGTTGCGTTATTTCAAATTAATCTATTTGGATCTGCTGGAACGAAATTTATTTTGATATTTTCATTAGAATTGCAGTCTATTCATTTACACTCAAAAGTTTTATGTTTCATTTGTAACTTTGCAGACTTTACCTTTATGACCATTAATATCAAAATGTAGACGAACTTTGCGCCACACACAGGTAATTTAGCCAGTTTATTTATGCGTAATATATTGATCTTAATAGCAGATACTTTCATACTGGATCTATTATCTATTCTATATACTGTATGTACGTACTTACCTGGGCATAGTTCATATTGACGTCATTAGATTGTATCAAGTTACTCGTTCTTAGTCAACTGTAGTATGATTTATTTAAATGATAGTAATGTTCCATACTAATATGTTTTTAGTCTATATTAGTCTGGTGTTTATGTACAGTGTAGCTTTATTGTTTTGTATATTCACAGAGTTCATTCTTTTTTTCGGTTCAACAGTAAACTATGGTCAGAACTCTCAACAGATTTCGTGTCTTTATTTGAACCTGGTTTAACCAACCTGTTGCATAATCATATGTGAGATGTGAACCATTAATGCTATTGTATCAGTGAAATGATTAGCATGTTAGCAATTGTATGATGCTGGTCAAAATGTTAATCATTGTCAATGGTTTATTTTAACTTGTTACATGTTCGTTATTGTCTGTTTCTATTGAATGTTCTGGTTTTAATATATTACAGACGAATGCCCTTCGTCTACATCTGATTAAAGAAGAATTGGACTACACTACTATTTCTGCTGCTTACATATGGATGTAGATAACCTGACACACATAAAAAAACGATTATAGCTGAGAAATCTTGTATAGTGGGAAGTAGTGTAGATTTAAGAAGAGAAAACTAACCAACGAGTCACTTCCACGGCTTCCCCGGTGCTGCCCTAGACTGCTGGCTTCTTGTCGCTGAAGTGGATTAAAACTGTAGTAAGTTGTGTTGTGATTGGAAAAAAGCAGAAAAGGGCGGAAAGAATAACACTTTACATGAAAAAATGGCAAACTTGAAAAATATCGTTGGTTACTTTGTGTTTCAAATTTTAGAGGAAAAACTAACCAACGATAATTTGTTGTCACCTTTAAACTAACCAACGAGAAGAAATGGTCTTTTTTGTTTTTTGTTTTTATTTTGTTATGAAAACACTGAATTCACACTGAAGTCCGTATTGTCACCACAATTTACCAGAAATATATACCAGTAATACATGGTCATCTTCATCGGACAAATGACGAGTATAAAGCTGGCAGTATAAGCAGGTAATATAACTGATCTTCCATACATGTATAGGTAGCAACAATGTATCATCACATGACAGAATATTCGGCTATCATTCAAAATCTGGTCTTAGGTACGCAACAATCTAGCTTCTCCTTCGTCTCTGCTTAGTACCGGCCTGCTGTGGCAGGATCGCTTCATTGACCTGTTGCCTGAAAAGGTTGTCTTCCTTATTTACTTTGATGGAATTCTAAAAATGCAGCGAAGTAAACACAAGTGTAAACTGATTACGATCATGATGCTAAAGTAAATGCGATTTCTTTAATAAAACACGAAACGTCCACTGGCTTAATACATTTTATTTGTACATTGATATATGACAAATCAGCCAAAGCAAATTATCAATGACAACGTGTGTCAAACATGTATTTTGCAATCTTAAGGTTCGCATTTAAATATTAACCTGTACCCTGATTATGTTTACAATAAAAACAATTACAAGCAATGCTAACAAAAAACGCACACACACAGTCGAACCTCGTTAAATTGAAATCGCCAGGACTATGGGAAAACCTGGAGATAATCGTGTACTCGATATAAATGAGTTCAAATGTTGTGTGTAAAATTAAGAAGTCGAAATATTCCGAAATAAACAGAGTTTTCGAGTTTCGACTGCATATCCAATCAAAAAGGTACAAGAACGAAAAATTGGTGGTATTGTTTACAAAATCACTCAAACAAAAAAGAAAGATGTGCAACTGACTGTCTAAACACTAATACAATAATAGAACATCTATTTGACGTTTTTTCTTATAATCAACACATAACATGTCCTTCACCAGCATATTATACCATCACCACACATCTATAATATTACATGTCCGTCACCAGCATATTGTATCAGCACTAACACTTATATTTTATTACATGTCCTTCACCAGCATATTGTATCATCACTAACACTTCTATTATATTACATGTTCTTCACAAGCATATTGTATCATCACTAACACTTCTATTATATTACAGATCCTTCACCAGCATATGATATCACCACTAACACGTCTATCATATCATACGATCTTGATAGTTATATTGTATAATCATGACACGTCTATAATATTACAGATCCTTCACCAGCATATTATATCACCACTAGCACGTCTATCATATCATACGATCTTGATAGTTATATTGTATAACCATGACACGTCTATAACATAACAGGAAGTTGATTAGTCATTGATAAAAAAACATGTATCATCACTGACATGTCTATAATATAATAAAACATTGAAAAGTAAATCTTATCATCACTGTCATGTCTATTATATCATAATACCGTGATAAGCATATTGTATCATCACTGTCATGTCTATTATATCATAAGACATAGAGAAGCATATTGTATCATCACTGTCATGTCTATTAAAGCATAAGACATAGAGAAGCATATTGTATCATCACTGTCATGTCTATTAAAGCATAAGACATAGAGAAGCATATTGTATCATCACTGTAATGTCTATTAGATCATAAGACATAGAGAAGCATATTGTATCATCACCGTCATGTCTATTATATCATAAGACATAGAGAAGCATATTGTATCATCAAAGCCATGTCTATTAGATCATAAGACATAGAGAGGCATATATCACTGACATGTCTTTTATAATCTTATTCCAGGAAATTTTCTATCCAGTTAGTCACTATTAAAGACATTTTCATTGTGATACCTTCATCGATCGTATTACAGATTTCATACATTAGACTGACTGCATTCGGAAAACGATCCCTTCATATCTCGTGCAGATCTCGTAGAGAAAGAGTTGGTCTCGTGTAACTGACTACGTCCTGACCTGGCCTCTGTAGATTCCAAGTAAGAGTTGCTTGTCAAGGTAGATGGGCGATTGTCCTTTGAGGATCGTGATGTACACGTATGGCTGCTAAAGGCGAGGAAAATCCAAGGATTGACGCAGCTGTTTAGGTTAGCTAGCAGCAAGATTATCGCAAAAGCTGCACCTACAATTAAATTGTTTTTATTTGAAAACACAGTTAATAGTATCAGCATATTCACAAAGAAAAGCAACGAGACTGGACTGGGGAATTATGTTATTTGGAACCTCAGATATGCACGGCTTAAATCAGTCCAATATAAGCTCAAACACTTCAAAATTAATTATGGACCAAATGTTTTGAAATTATTCTTTCGTAATGTTTATCGACAGACAATCAATATTAAAAGTTGTTGATATATATGTAATATTTCTATATTTTTTCAATTTATGACAGATCCCCAAACGTTCCCTGGAGTATTCGACAATTTCAATGAATAACTACGATATGTAAACTTTTGTTAGATCATCCCATTAAAAGAATTCACATTTGATATCGTTGGATCTAAATCTCTTCGGCTGCTTTCAAGAAATCTTATTGGGGTGAGAAGAAGAGAAGTTTGTTGGATTTGATTGGATGAAGTAGCTATTGCCACAGGCCCATTTGCAATTAAATGTTTGTTGTAGAAGATAGTGTGCATTTACTTTTTCCACTGAAATTGATCTTGTGTGGTTTTATTACACTTTTCCTGCTTTTTCCCTGTATTATAAATCTAGGAAAGTGATCATACATAACAAACACTGAATGTTGACCAAAGTACAGACAGTTCTAGAATAGACATTTTCCAGTTTACATCAGATCAAAGAGTCATACCTTGAATCCCGTCATAGATAACAGTCTTTATTTATCGCAATATTTGAAAGGGAGATTGTTGAATGCAGGCTGATTAAATATTAAACTGATATTATTACTTCTCATTATTCTAAATATACACGATGTGTACCATTTTCATTTCACATAATCATGGCGCGATCGATGGTCCACAAGGGCAATGTTATGTTGATGTGTCTTCGGGCCTACCAACTTTGTCACTTGAATTTACCAAGTTCAGATGACATGCAATGCCATGCAATGCTGCCTTTGATAAATCTAAATATGATATGCAGCAATATCCCATTTTATGTATCAAGAGCACCATCAATACTTTAAATGAATGTCATGTATGGATGACTTATCAAACTGGTACGCTCTGAATAGCATAATACAAAACAACTATATAAACTGGATGTATGTGTTACATATGAAATAAGTGAAAGGTTTGCCTTGGTCAAAGAATATACGTATTTGACCTCGACTTTGAAAAATGACGTAAAAAAATAAGATATTCGCTATTTTGAAGTGTTTCTGTAAAGTTTAAATAAGAATGCTGAGAAAATGTATTTCTGCATGGTTACTGACTTGAGATATGAAATAAGAACATTCTAGACATTTACTTTTGTTTCTTAACTAGAACACTGAAGTTAGAATACACATGACACGTGCTAATGTAATTCGACTAGAATACTGAAGTAAGAATAATTTCGATATTTGCTTGTTTGTCATTGAGGTAGGAATAATTTTTATATGTACCAATATAGTACGAATTGAGTCATAAAGTCAAAAATACTCTAGTTACATCTTTACTGTATGATGTTGACTGGAATACAGAGGTAAGAAATAACTAACTCTATACTCCTGTAGTTTGTCTAAGATCCTGAAGAAAGAACGACCTGTGCTGCTGTATTTTGACTGAAATATAAACACTTCGAATGTTTTATGTAACTTTATATTAGAGGGAATACTGGAACATGGATATTCAGAATTTCTACTGTAGTTTGAAGCTAGCTAGAATGTTAAAATTATAATACTCAGAATATCTATTGTAGTTGACATAAACTGAATGTTTAAATTGGAATACTGAGGACGTCTGCTGTAGTTTGACGTTAGCTGAATATTGAAATAACAATACTGAGTGACTCTAGCTGAAATACTGAAATAACATTTCTCAGAATATGTTTTGTAGTTTGACATTAGATGGAATACTGAAATATAAACACTTCGAGTGTTTTCTGTAACTTTGTATTAGGTGGAATACAGAAACATGGATATTCAGAAATTCTACTGTAGTTTGAAGCTAGCTAGAATATTATAATTAGAAAACTGAGGTTGTCTACTGTAGTTTGACGTTAGCTGAAATACTGAAATAAAAGTACTCAGGGTGTCTACTGTAGTTTGACGTTAGCTGGAATACTGAAATAAAAGTACTCAGGGTGTCTACTGTAGTTTGACGTTAGCTGAAATACTGACATAAAAGTACTCAGGGTGTCTACTGTAGTTTGACGTTAGCTGAAATACTGCAATAAAAGTACTCAGGGTGTCTACTGTAGTTTGACGTTAGCTGAAATACTGAAATAAAAGTACTCAGGGTGTCTACTGTAGTTTGACGTTAGCTGAAATACTGAAATAAAAGTACTCAGGACGTCTACTGTAGTTTGACGTTAGCTGAAATACTGAAATAAAAGTACTCAGGGTGTCTACTGTAGTTTGACGTTAGCTGAAATACTGAAATAAAAGTACTCAGGGTGTCTACTGTAGTTTGACGTTAGCTGGAATACTGAAATAAAAGTACTCAGGGTGTCTACTGTAGTTTGACGTTAGCTGAAATACTGAAATAAAAGTACTCAGGGTGTCTACTGTAGTTTGACGTTAGCTGAAATACTGAAATAAAAGTACTCAGGGTGTCTACTGTAGTTTGACGTTAGCTGGAATACTGAAATATGAATACTCAGGATGTTTGCTATAGTTTGATGTTGGCTAGAATATTGCAGTAAGTATATGTAGGATGTCTTTCGTAGTTTGACCTAAGTGGGAATACTTAAGTCAGCATATTCAGAATGTCTACTTTGTTTGGCGTTAGAGAATACAGAGCTAAGGATGATTATTACGTCTACTGTATTTTGTCGTTTAAGGTTTAGGGTGAGGTTTTCAGGATGTTGATAAATCATCTTTTCTTACAGTCCTGATATCTTGTTGACTTTTCACATTTTCTTGAATTAACTCATATGCTTGTCTGAGCAACAACTATGATACTGTACCCCAATTTTAAAATGCTCTTTGTCGCCCAATGCGTTGTCTTCATGCATACAATTGAAGGATTTTAACTCAGCGAGGAACTGTCGTTATGAAGAAAATCAAGTAGCTCTTTCTATGATTTGGTAACTGTCAAACTTACCGTAGAAAGGAGCATTGACATCGAACGCACTCCATGTCTGTGCTACAAAGAAAGGTCCCCAGCAGAGAAAATAACATGTGACTACAACCACAGTCAGCTTGATAGTTTTGATCTTGGATTTTGATACGCCCTTACTGTGAGCTCTAGGATTCTTAAGAAGTCGTGGACTGTTCATGTCCGCTTGTCGGATAGTTGCATCCTTCGTAAATATTAGTTTCCATGATTTTCTAACATTGGTTCTATTTTTAGGATTTTTCCGAGAATCAACACTCATCCAAACCACTTGGCAAATTTTGATGTATGCAAATGCGAGGATAACTAGTGGTATCGCATATATAGAAAGGAAAATCCATGTGACATACAGTTGAATCCTCCACGGTGGACCTACACTCAAACTTTCCCAACAGTCATATTCACCACTTCCTGGATATGTCTCTTGCATTGAGAAAAGAATCAGTTGTGGAATTGAGAAAATCAGTGATAAAATCCACGCTGTTGATATCATTATATGTACACGGCGTGTTGTCCATGTTTGACTGGCCAGAGGATAACAAATAGAACTGAAGCGATCCAACGCTGTCATTACCAACACGTATGACGACGCGTACATTGCTGACAACTGTAAGTATTTGACGAGTTTACATGTAAAAGTTGATCCTTGGAATCTGTATGTGATGTCCCATGCCATCTGTGGCAGTACATTAAATAACGCGACCGAGATATCAGCCAGACACAGATGTACAATAAACCACTGCATTCGAGTTAGCTTCGTTCGGCGACATTTCAGAACTAATAACACTACACTATTTCCGAATAAAGCGAGATAAAGAATGACCGCCATTACTGCTATTTCTGCCTTAGCTAAAGTCTCATCTCGACTGTAAGTAGTCCCATTAGTTTTGTTGGTTACATTGTTGTCCACTGTTTCACTCTGATTGTAGTCCCAATAAGACATGTTCATTGGTAGCAAATGAGTAAGTTCCATGTTTTTGGGTTGTTGACACGTCGTTATAATTAATGTGTGCGAACCTATAAACAGAAAAACGGCATATCAATTAGGAGAGTGAACGGCAGTGAAATAACAATATTAATTGCTTCTATCAGCATAAATGGGTCTGTAGAGCATAATTTTGATTTTTATGTGTGCAATCGCTTAAATACATATTGAAAGGTCAATTCAGGTCTTTTTCACCTTCGATAAAAGAAACGCAATATGTCTTTATTTCGTAATCGAATTGACATAAAAAAATTGATATGTCTCAAATGTGTGGAAAGATTGTAAACAAAGTTGATAATAATAAGGATGTAGACATCTTTAGATATATATATATTCGTGAACTCTCACTTGGTAGCCCACTTCTGTTGATTTTTAGGCCACAAAATCAAATTATTTACCTTTTTTCTCAATCTTTGAAAAAAGGCTATATGTGGGTAAGTTGCAAAAATCACGGCATCGTGGTCTTTTCTCTTTAAATCAGAAAAAAAATATCCTCGAAATACTTCGATCCCAACATTAAACCTCTTAGAAATCAAATACCAGACAACGATTATATGAAGAATGTTGGTCTTGTTTTTAATTCTATTTTTGGTAGTCTTCCAGCTTTAAGCTCGTCAAATCAAATAAGAAAGAACTCTTTTACATTATTTTATTTTGTCCATTGATTTTGAATATGAATATATCTATATTGATTTATTGATATTTTTAAAGATAGTATCGAGAATCTGATGTAAAAATATTTATTTCCTTTGACACATAATTTGGCGCCTCTCGGAAATATAGAAATGCAGCAATATAAACATATATTTTTTTATTATTATTTTTCTATATAGAGAAAATACAGTGATTTCATACTAGATTACAATTTAAAAAGAAAATGCTGAGTGTGTATTGATATCACATATATAATAAATCTTAATTATGATAAGAAAAAAAAGGTAATTGACTTTTTAAAAAAAAATCATTTATTGACCTACTATCAAATATCTGTGTTGTGAAGATTTGTTGAGTTATTTCAGGAAGACAATTTAGTAAAATGCCATTTCGCAGATAAAAGACTTTCGTGCTGTTACCAATGAATAGTCCAAACTAATTTTGATAAAGAAAGGTGTTGATATGTTCCCTTTATCTCAGGTTTGAGAGAAAAGCTTAAGAAGTAACCTTAATCAAATCGCAGAAAGACAAAATTCGAATAATTAATATGTGATGTGATTTGGTTTGTGGGTTTTGATGTCGCTAAAATTAGACAGACATTTCATAACTACATGGGCACTTAATTAAGATGTTATGCGTAGATAACAACGATGAGATATACATGCCTTATCCGACTGATTATTTACGTCAGAATCAAGGTTGGCAGTGCGTAACGCCAATTTTTGTTTGTCTAGACACCGAAATTATATTTTATGTGTGAATTAAAATGTATTTATCATCAGATATGTGGTAAATCTAATATCACATTTAATCATAATGTGAATTCCTTCTTAGAAAACACTAGATTTACACAAATAGTATCATTACCGTGACACACACTTCGTTATCAAACTGAATCTTTCCTGTATGATAATTATAATCATGTAATCATTTCCTAAATAATCAAATATAAACAATGTCCTGCTCACTGCCTTTTAAACTCCTTCTAATCGACTATAATCGGGAGTTATTTTCCCATAACTCGTCTTCGCGTGACATATATCCGTAACGACTTTACTTCCGTCCAAGGTGAACAACGTCATTAACACTTGGAAATCGACATTCCCAGGAGACCGGACCAATGTATTATCGATAAATCGTGCGAATCTTTTAATTTCTTCGACTTTACTTCAATGCTATTTAGTCCTTCTGTTTGCTATTTGTCTCTTAGCAATTAAATACCAATAAATGTTACAGTGGCAAAACTCCATGAGATAATATGACATAACGATGACACGCGATACCTTTCAAAATCATAGATAAAATGTGATAGTAGAGAGGTCAATCAGAGTGTATACTATGACAATAGATTTGCTTACATAATGGTTTTGAAATATAAGAACCATAAATTGGATTTTCAATTCAAGATCGACCATATTGATAAAACATACCTGTTGTTTTGACACATATCTCATTTGGAAAGCCTGTTTTATTATTTCAAATGCTTTATTATCGGATGTCGTCACACATTTCAATACATACAAATCCAAGGATTTAACAGTTATTTTTTATATAATTATACGCTGTAACATTACTTTTTTTCACATAATGTATGAAAAAGGTAAATTCAGGAACGATATTTATATGTTCTGCTGTAATGAGTCCTACCGCTCACACGTCTAACCAGGTAAAAGTGCAATATTGGTCTACAACTCATTCAAATACAAAGAAGAGCATTTTCGATGAATGCACGCACGAGTCTTACAAGTGAACGATGGAGACCTGGCCCCACTTGTATAAAACATCTCAACTTGAGATTTCCTCAAGTCGAGATTTTCCTCAGCTAATATCTCCTTGAAAATATCTTGTATGAAAAATTCCTCAAGGAATTTCAGGACATCCTAGCCGATGACTTCCTCCTGTTCCTTGAGAAAATTTTATACAAGCCGTTTTCGAGGAGATATCAGCTGAGGAAAATCTCGGCTTGAGGAAATCTCAAGTAGAGATGTTTTATACAAGTGGGGCCTGTTTTATAGGTACCGGTCCCTCCACCAATATATATTTCATCCGTTTACTTTAAGGAAACGCTTTTCCAGTTTTCCGGCTTTTGTTATTGTTTTTTTCCGGGTCCTTAAGATAAATGTCAACAGAGTAGAACATTGTTTACTGGTAGTTTCGTAGATTTTAAGTTAACATAACCCAGACTGTTACAAGTCTGTTATGTGGCTCAAATCATCAACGGAAGTTTGTCTGGAACGATGACATAATTCAATCCCTTAGGTAGTTGTGTGTTATTTTTATCTATAAGCTGTTTTTTAAAGATGTTAATTTCTCATTCGTTTAGCATTGTTTAATTCAAACTTCAAACTGTTCTTAAATCTCTCTATAAGTCGTGTTGAGTGATTTTTCTTCTGTGCGCTTTATGTGCGTGTTCTTATCCCCTAGAATGTCACTTGGTAATCCCCCATGAAGCTTAGCGGTGAGTAGTGGTTGCTCGCAGCGTCAGTTTTGTTGTTAATAACGTGTTTACTTTCAAGGGTCTCACAGAACTACTTAGATTCATTGTACCAATCTTGTGTGCTTTTTCCTCAAATCGATTTACCACCTTGATACAATATATTCTATCTTTGTGTAAATGATACTGTGTTGTGCATCCGAAACAAGAAAGGGAAGTTGTCTGCTTGGCTGAGGTCTCCAAATATTCCGACGCAAAAACAACACTTAGATACCGACATCTTTATTCTCTTTTTTTAACAACTAACTCAAAAAACCAACATATCGGACATCTTTTCCGGAATTATATATAAACTAATAAAACAAAAATAAAACCAACTGACATTATCCGGAATAGAGTTACCTCCCCGTAGAACGTAAACATTAATAGGTAGATATTTCATTGACCAGTATATTATATATATATATCAGGGATATCGAAACAAACGTTTGGATCATGTTTAATGCAACATCACAACAAATACAAGGTTTGAGTGTGATGTTTTCATGACTATGCAACCATCTTCAACAGAGATATGACTGACGCAAATAGTGTGCGAGGTGGCCAGGAAATTATTTTCGGCTGCAATACACAGCGTTATTTACGCAAAGATAGAATATATTGTTATTGATAGAATACATTATGAATGTCTATCCATTTTGTGATTTAATCTGACATTTTAAATGTCTATAATCTTATCTGATTTTTTTGTTTTTGTTTTTTTTTTTTTTTTGTTTTGTTTTTATTAATTATATGACTTTATCTGACATTTTAAATGTCTCTGCAATATGTGATTTTACATGACATTCTAAATGTCAATCCATTTTGTGATTTCATCTGACATTTATTTTAAATGTCTATAATTTTATCTGAATTTTTTTTGTTTTTATTCATTATGTGATCTTATCTGACATTATGAATGTCTAATGGACAATCCATTTTGTGATTTAATCTGACAATTTCAATGCCTATCATTTTATCTGACATTACAAATATCTATCAATTATGTGATTTTAATTGTCTCTCCATTTTGTGATTATATCATACTTTTTAAACGTCTATCCATTATGTGATTTAATCTGACATTTTAAATGTCTATAATGTGATCTGACAATTTTTTAAATTTTAATACATAATATGATTTTATCTGCAGTTATAAATGTCTATCCATCATGTAATATCATATATTTCTTTATCACACCCTAACCCTAACCCTCTAACCCTAACCACCTAACCCTAACCACCTAACCCTAACCCCCTAACCCTAACCCTCTAACACTTACCACCTTACCCATCTACCCTAACCCCCTAACTCTTACCCCCCTAACCCTAACCCATCTACCCTAACCCCCTAACCCTAACCCTCTAACACTTACCACCTTACCCTCTACCCTAACCACCTAACCCTAACCACCTAACCCTAACCCCCTAACCCTAACCCTCTAACACTTACCACCTTACCCATCTACCCTAACCCCCTAACTCTTACCCCCCTAACCCTAACCCATCTACCCTAACCCCCTAACCCTAACCCTCTAACACTTACCACCTTACCCTCTACCCTAACCACCTAACCCTAACCACCTAACCCTAACCCCCTAACCCTAACCCTCTAACACTTACCACCTTACCCTCTACCCTAACCACCTAACCCTAACCACCTAACCCTAACCCCCTAACCCTAACCCTCTAACACTTACCACCTTACCCATCTACCCTAACCCCCTAACTCTTACCCCCCTAACCCTAACCCATCTACCCTAACCCCCTAACCCTAACCCTCTAACACTTACCACCTTACCCTCTACCCTAACCACCTAACCCTTACCCCTCTAACCCTAACCCCCTAACCCTAACCCTCTAACACTTACCACCTTACCCATCTACCCTAACCCCCTAACTCTT